CCGGTCAGGGCATATGCCCGAGTTGCAGGCTTGATCCCCAGTGTGGGGCATGCAGGAGGCAACCATTCAATGATTCTCTCTCATCATTGATGTTTATCTCTCTCTCCCTCTCCCTTCCTATCTGAAATCAATAAAAATATATTTGTCAAAGTTAGCTGTGGCATGTCCTGGCTCCTAGTTTAAAATCCTGAGCCCAGTATCAGTAGTGTGGGCAGAGATGCCTGAGCCCAGTGGCCATAGCACTAGCATTTCCACTAGTGGAGTTCAATGGTACGACTTGGATATCATTCTTTTTAAAAAAATATATATTTTACTGATTTTTTACAGAGAGGAAGGGAGAGGGATAGAGAGTTAGAAACATCGATGAGAGAGCATCGATCAGCTGCCTCCTGCACACCCCCTACTGGGGATGTGCCTGCAACCAAGGCACATGCCCTTGACCGGAATCGAACCTGGGACCCTTCAGTCCCCAGGCCGACGCTCTATCCAGTGAGCCAAACCAGCTAGGGCTGGATATCATTCTTGAATGGCTATCCTCTGAGTCTGATTCTCTGGCTCTCTTGAAGATCCTGAAAGGCACTAAATATTCTTCTGTACACTCCCTTTTTGCTTAAACTAGCTTGAGTGGGTTCTGTTTTCACATGTGACTGATATGAGGTTGTTGTATATCCCATGGTTTCCACTTTTTTATTTAAACTGCTTTTCAATGCCTTTCTTTCCCAATCTTCCAAATTCATACATTATAATTGAACCATGCAGGTCATTAGGACCCAATATTAAAGACAACATGATGCGAGGAGTCCTATGTATTTACACTTAGGGCAGGCCCACCCTCAGTCGTTCAGTCCCTACATAATTCCACACGTAAAGGACGCTGCAAACTTGATAAATCCTAATTTAAAAAAGGAATATATGGCAGATGATGGTCCTTTAGTAAAGAAACATCTTCCTGGACAGCTTTCTGAAGCCTAATCACCGGGCTCAGGTCAGTCCTATGTGAGGCCAGACCCAGGCTGGCATTTGTATGAATCAGACCACCCTTGGCTGGGGCTCGTCTTTTCCTCCTCCCAAACTCCATCACCTATAAAGAAACACACACATTTGGCTCTCGATGATAGGCTTTTCCATTCCGTAATCGTTGTTTTATGTATGGATTTTATACCTCTGATTAAAGAGATAATCCTTGAGGGGCAAGAACCTCATCTTGTGTTTCTTTTGCATTTCTCACAGCACTGAGCAGACTGTCTAAACATTGTAAGAGCTTGTTTAATGAATATTTGCTGATTGATTTCTCTCTTGGGGCTATGGAATCTAAATTACATGGATGTCTCATCACTCTTCAATGAGAGAGAGAGAGATCTGAGAATCAATAAATAATAAACTCCAAGCATGAAGTTTAGAGCCAGAAAAGTTAAAGACACAAGTTTCAGCCTTGTGTGAGTAATCCACTTTAGTTTGTCATGTATAAATTGAGGTTGAAATAAACCTATTCCAACCACCTCCCAGGATTGGGAGCATTGTAAGAGATAATATGCACTTAAAGTATATTGTGATTATTATCTGGTCCACATAAAATAGGACCAGAGAGGGAAGTGGAGAAGACAATCAAAATTAGTGTGTGGAGAAGGGATCATAGCTGATATGACTCATTGGGTTTGGTCCCACCGGCCTGGGGCCAGCGGGTTTTGTAGCACAGGCCTGCCTATTGGGTTAGGGAGTAGGAATCCTCTTCATCCACCTCTCCTAACCACAGCCATCAATTCCACCTCAGACTTTAAAATATCTAAACCCACGCCCTAGCTGGTTTGTCTCAGTGGTTAGAGCGTCCGCCTGTGGACTGAAAGGTCCTGGGTTCGATTCCAGTCAAGAGCACATGCCCGGGTTGCGGGCTTGATCCCCAGTAGGGGCCATGCAGGAGGCAGCCCATCAATGATTCTCTTTCATCATTTATGTTTCTATCTCTCTCTCCCTCTCCCTTCCTCTCTGAAACCAATAAAAATCTATTTAAAAAAATATCTAAACCCATACCTCATCTCCTGTCCCACCCTCCCCTTGGTTCAGGCCCTGATCCTCTCCCACGGCTTCGGCTGCTTTCTGCCTCTGTCTGGTCTTTGACCCTCCACGCTCCCTCCCCCTCTCCCTCATCCACATGGAGGCAGTTACTGCTCTGAAAAATCAAAGCTGATCACTCCTCTAAGCTCTGTTGCATATCTAGATCTATATATCCATAGTGTTTCTATATCTAAAGGGGGAAGCCCAGTTATGAGGCTCTTGTAATCAAGTGAGAGATGTTGGATGTGTGAACTAGGGTAGACGAAGAGGTGGGAAAAGATTTGAGGAATAATATGTAAAACTATAAACTCTCTCTCTCTCTCTCTGTCTCTCTGTATTGTTAAACTGTGAAACATATTAAGATTTCTTACATTAATTTATCCAACAAATATTTATTGCAAGCCTATCATGTGACAAGCACCATTCTAGGCACTGCAGATATGAGAGGACAACATAATGGATCCTGTCCTCTTGTAGCTCACAGTCCAGTGAGAAGAAAAGCAATATACAGAGAATCAATAGGAAATCAATCGGGGCCATGTGATAGTGACTTGGGGAACTACTTGAGATAAACTGGTCATGGGAAAGTCCGCTGAGGAGGTGACACTTAAGCTAAACCTCAGTGAGGAGGGAGAGTTGGCTGCACACTGAGTTGGAGAATAATATTCCAGACAGAGAAAAAGGAAGAGTAAAGGTCCTTGGGTTAGAAAGAGTTTGGTATTTCTGAGGAACGCATGCCAATGTGAGCCAAGCAGAGTCCTGGGAAAGATGCAATACAAGATAGAGTGGAGAGGGAGGCAGGAGCAATGTCTATATAGACTTAGTGGTCCTTGTCAGAGATTTGAATTTTTGTCTAAGATTGGAAGCCATTAAAAGTGGCTTTGAGCCAGAGAGAGATGTAGAGTGGTATATATATATAGTAAACAGGTCACGTTGGCTTCTCAGTGAAGGAGAGCAGATAGGGGTCAGAGTAGAGATAGGCATGAATAGATGTAAGGGGCAAGGTAGGATGGTGTGGTATTGGCTCTGGCTGAGTTGTTGGTGGCTTGACTAGGACGTGTCCAAGGACATGGAGAAAAGTGGTCAATTACAGGCTCTATTTTATGGGTCAAAATGACTGCTTGCTGATGGAATGACTAGATATGAGGGTGAATGCCAGGAAGGAACAAGGATGGCTTAGGGTGGATGGTGATGCCATTTGCTGAGACAACTGGGAAAATAGTTTTGGGAAGAAAGGTTGAGTTCATCTTTGGACCTGCTAAGTGTGAGATATGCCAGTCACTTCGGTGGACATGACACATGGTAGCTGGAGAAATATGTCTGGAGCTCTGGGAGAGGTCTTCACGGTGAAATTACAGGTGTGAGTCATCAGCGTGTAGATGATATAACAGTCATGGGGCTGGGAGGAAATACCAGGGGAGAATGTAACTAGATCAGAGAAGAGGGAGGAGGACAGCCCTCCTCACTAGTAGAAAAAAAACGAGGGCTGAGTTGCCAGGAGACTGAGGTTAGAGGGAAAGCAGGAGGGCGGGGCTTCCCAGGCTCCAATAGAGGAAGGTGTGTCCAGATGGAGATTGCAGTCAGCTGTGCCTGACATCCCCAGAGGTGTAGTAAGACAAAGGCAGAAAGGTAACGAGAACCCAGGACCTGGTAACCTGTAGGTCACTGTGGTGACTATGACAAAAGCAGTTTGGGACCCCAGGCTGACTGGAGTGCAGAGAAGGAGGGGTGAGCATGTGTAGCTGGCAGGGGTACCCAGCTTTCAGGACGTTTTGCCGAGAGGCTGGATCATGGGTGCTTTTGCTTTTCCTGTTGGTATATTCTTATTTCCCAACAGCGACCATTTATTACTTGTTTAATAGGTACTTTGCAGATGGCACTTCACTGTTTATGAGAAAAGGATGAATTTCTAGTAGAATATGGCAGACCCTCATCTTCCTCCCTTCACTGTGACCTCCCCAACCGCAGGCTTGCTATTCTCCACAAGCACCAATCTCTTGTCGGCTGCAGTCATTATTTCACACCAGCTTCCACAGTGTATATAAATTTGGAGTCTGGTGCTAGGCATCCGTGGTGGCTGTGGTTCCCATTCCTCTTAGCACCCATAAGCCACCCCACCGCACCCCACCCCACCCCACACATGTCCAGGATCATTTGGCTACCCATTTGCCACCCACCCAGTTTCACCCACGCATCAGTCCCCCAGCTGCAGAAAAAGCTCATTTCCTCCTGCCTTCTACTTTCCTGACTGGTAGAGTGGCAGGATGGGGTAATCGGGAAAAGAATAGGGCCTCCAAGTCAGAAGCACACGGGTTCCTTCCTCCACCTGCCACTTAGTATCAGTGTGCCCCTAGGCAAGTAAGTCTATCTCCCAAGGGCCCTGTGCCTCAGTTTCCTCACCTGTAAACGAGGTTAGTAAAAGCCACATCCTGCCAGTTTTGCGATGCCTGGAATAAAGGAAGCAGCAGCTGCGGTGGCTCATTTTGCATCAGCGTGGCGAGGATGGTTGAGCCACAATAGGTGAGAACCCAGATGCTTCAGAAAGGTGACCTGCCAGTGGGGCCCCTCACATGACTGGGAGATGCCAGACTGTATCTCTCTCCTCTTATAGGGCGTGTGCTGGTCGGGTGACCCGTCTTTCCAGTCGCCTCACACACCAGGTCTGTGATCACGCGCCCCCCACCCATAGTTGAGCCTGACCTGGAGGCGGCTCATGCGCCTTTCCTGCCCAGCTTCTTGCCACGGACCACACGTCGCATCCCGGCCTCCGGCCCCGCCCCCGCCCCCAGGCGCGCCCCTCTGGCTTGTAGGCTCGGGTGTCTGAGCGGCCGCGCCCACGGGCTCTGCGCGCTAATTGGCTGAGCGGAGGCAGCGGGCGGTCCGGGGCGCACACACCCTCCCCGCGCAGCCAATGGGCGTGTACGCGTCATTGACTGGGCGGCCCGGGAGCCGGCAGCCCCTCAATAAGCCACATTGTTGCACGAAACTCTAGCGCTGGACTCCCGGGCCGCCGCTAGCAACGCCGAGTCACCAAGCCCAGAAGATCTGCGGGCGAGAGCAGTGCGCGCGTGAGCGGGAGAGGTCCGATCCCCCCCGCGGAACCGGGTTGAGATTCTTCCCAAGTTGAGCCCTAGGGAGCCCGTGGCTGAAGTTAGCGCCTTGACAGCGGGGCAGCCCGACACGTCGCCGGGAGTGATTTTTTTGGGAGCCTCCTAGCAGTTGTGACTCCCCAAACCTGATCCTAGAGACCGGAGACCCTTCCGCCGGCGGGCCGTCGCTGTTAGCCTTCTTTGCGGGCCGCTCGGATTCGCCGCTCCCGGTCCCACCGAAGCTGTCTGACCGCGCCGCCCTCCTTCCCCACAAGCGCTCCAGTCTTGGTTTCCCATCTCGGCGCCGTCGGGCCGTGGCAAAATGATCGCCTCGCATCTGCTCGCTTACTTCTTCACGGAGCTCAACCATGACCAAGTGCAGAAGGTGAGTAAGCGCGGGCGGGGGTGGCTGGCTCGCCTCCGGCAAAGTTGTGTGGTCCCCCGCCCGCTCTCCCGGGTCCCCGCCGAAACTCTCCTTCACCTTGCGGGGCCACTCTTCTCCCCCATTCGGGGCGGAGGACGTGGGAACTGTCTCGGCGCCCGGGAAACTCCTGGGCATCAGGAGCCACGTCCGCTAGCCGCGCTCCCTCCCCACCGCTCTGCGCGCGCTCGCGCTTTTCTTCTCTTTTTTTTTCTGGAGGGGCGGGTCACTTGGTCAGGAGTCGTAGATTGATGGGCCCACGTGGGAAGAGCCCCTCTTTAGCTGCCTGAATTCCGGCGAGAGCACGTGGGGAGAATCGTGGCTTGGAGAGCAGGCTCCGCCGCCTCGCGGGGCTGGCGGGACGCTCCCGCGCTAAAGGGCCGCGTTTTGGGGAAGTGGGGTTTCCTTAGGACTTCCACAAGGCCCTGCAGAGGTGGGCTTTGGGGAGAGACTGACCCGGGAGAGAGATGGGAAAGAGAGGGGGGACCCCCCCCCGCCGCGCCCCCTCCCCGGAACTGAGGTGCCCGGAACTGAGGCTCCGCGTGGGGCGTACATCACCTCCCCCAAGCTGCCTCGGAACCGCCCCGCCTTGGGCCCCCAGGGCCCGCCTCCAAATGGGGGGCGGACTTGGGATGTTACTTTTGGTACTTCTGTAAGTTTCTCGGAGAGGACCGACTGCCCCCTCGCCCATCTCCCTGAGATGTTTGTGGTTCCGAAAATCAGCTTTTTCCTGACCTTGGCCCTGACCTGTCTGCCCACTTCGCTCTCAGCGGCCCCCTCCTCCCCCTGCCCCCACCGGAGTCCTATCGGCGGCGCGGTCATTTACATAAGAAAGAGCCTCTGCCCTGGCCGGGAGCCTAGCTCCGCGTGCCTCCGGGTCTGGGTTGGGGGTGGGGCTGGGCTGGGCCCGAGCCGCTCTCACTCTGGGTTGAATAGTTTCTCAAATGCTCTGGATTTCAGGATCGGCTCTCCTGGCCTTGGGCTTTAGCCAGATTTGAGAAGAGGG